TTTACAAAATGATGGGGCGAACAAGTCGTGAGTCTGGTGGTCAGCGACACGCCTGTACGTAATAGTTGCAGTGTCGCTCAGAGCTTCAGATCGCAAAGATCTGAGAGGTACTGTCACTGCGCCCGTCACTCTGAGACATAAATTGACAAGTCCCATGGGCATGTTATTTCTCCGGCACCCTTACCCTTCAAAACCGGAACGCAGTAATGCTTATATTACCGCTTGAAGGTAGAAATTGGTTAGGTGCAGTACTTCCCTAGATGAACTCTTTCACAAGGAGCTCTACTGAAGGCCATATTTTTGGCGTTTCGGTTTTGAAGGGTATCTAAGGGTACTGGTGAAATTATAGGCACATATGGGACTTGTCAAGCTTGGACTTTGCGTAGGCTCCCTCAGATCTTTGCGGTTTAAAGTACTAAGCGCTGCAACTGTTATAGACAGGCGTGTCGCTATCGGACGCATGACTTGTTCGTTCAGTCGCTTGATTTGTTTAAAAAAGCTTAGTGGACACAGGCTCCTTTGGGAGACAAGTTCTTTCTAATGGGCTGGTATCGTTTAGCTATAAAGGATTTTTTGAGATCAGAATACTTCTGAATATTTGTAGATACTAGGTTCTTAGTACTAGAGTTCAAACATCCGTTCAGAACAATGGCCTCTTGTCCCTAGGCGATTCAAGTTTATTACTGATCTTGTGTGGTCTTGGCCTAGGAATTCTGTTCAATATTCATTATACCTAGATATTGAGCCATACGATTTAATGAGACTTATTTTTTAAATTCTAACTAAATTAGACAGTAAGTTGAAATACACAGGTAAGGTACAATAAAAGTTTCAATACTGAAAATTAAACTAATCTCAGAGCTTTAAATCGCAAAGATCTGGGGGGCAGGGTTAAGTTGTATGAATAAAATTGGGTCCGCGCGGCAAGGTGCCCAAGATGCTGGCAATTGGGTTTCCCAGGCAGACAAACAATCAAGTCGTGCGCCTGGTGATAAGCGACACGCCTGTCCGTAACAGTTACAGTGCCGCTCAGGGCTTTAAATCGCAAAGATCTGGGGGGAACTACTGCGCCTGTCACGCTGAGACAACTCCCAAGTGCCTGTAATTTCACCAGGTCTTTAGCCCTTTAAAACCGGCTACGAATAGACGTAACATGATTCCTGTCTGCTTTCCTTGACTAATCCAGGTGTAAAATAACTATTAATAATAAATATTAATAACTATGAATATTGTATGACATAATCACTAATATTTTTGCTTTACTTTCATCACCCAAAGTACAACTACCACAGTGTTTACAAGGGCACTAGGTTTCAATAAAATGAAGCGTCTTGAAAAAATCTATGTAAACGTCTCTCTAGTCATTGATTCAATAATTTCAGTACAGAGTACTAAAAAACCGACCTCAACAGTTTGCGGAATTATATCTATTTGCCAAGTTTTATTGAAATAGGTTATTGGAAATTGCGCGTTCACAAATTAATTCAAGAGTTATCGCGTAACATAATAAGAAAATACAGTTGAATTAATTCTAAAACCTCCTCCTTTTTTAAAGTCGGTGAAAAATAGTTATGAGTGACACTTATCTCTTCAAGGAAGTAATACACATTCAGAGTTGATAATACCTCCCATAGAAATTCTGGGATTTTACAACATTTGGTTCTATATTTTTGATGAGTAAATTTTGTAATTTTTACTAAAAATATAATAATAAATAATAATATAATAAATAACGCACACACTCAACATAACGAGCCCCGCACTAGGGAAACCCTGTGTCGCGGGTGCCATGGACACACACATAGATAACCACAATTTACACCCAAACTAAGGAGAGAAATAATTGTAGGCCATACAACTATTTCTCCCGCCCCGGGAATCGAACTTGGGACCTCTGCGTGGCAGTCCGGCATGGTAACCGTTCGGCCACGGAGGCAGTTCAAATATAGTTAGCTATTTTGTTTACATTTTTGGTTTTTATTTATAATCGCTCTGGGATTTCAGTGGGTTGTATTATTCACTGTGTGTATATAAACTTGAACTTTAGGTAAAGTACTTTAGGTGAACTATTCCGATTATAACTTATTACAGAATCAATCGCAATTTTACTTAGTGTTTTATTATTTTAATTGAATATTAACTAGCTCAGGTTTTTATATACTTTAAGTATTTGACGACGCCTGTGGTCGAGCGGTTTGTTCACCGGTTTTCATGGTGTCGCCATTTATGAGTTCTTGGATTCGATCCCCGGCTAATGTCAATGTAGAAAATTAAAATTTCTATATTGTTTCGGATCTGGGTGATATCGTCATTGTTTCCAATTTCCAAAACACAAAAGCTTCAGTACTTGCTTTGTGATCAGGGAAACGTATGTTATGTCTAATATTTATTATTTATTAAGGTATAGTGAAGAGAATCTTCCAAATTCATTTATTAAAATATCCTTAAGCCACAATTTCATTTAAAATAATCAAATATATTAAACGGTTCTTGTCTTTTGTGACTTGGATTCTTTTGAAAAGATTGAGTTAGAAAATATAGAGGTTATTCTTTATTAGTAGATTTATGGTTACATTTATCTTTTCAAATAATGTTATTTTTAAAACATCATAGGCACAATCAGCCCGAAAATGTTTTGATGACCTTGCTGGCTTAACGTTTGCACTTTGGGCAGTGGACGAGATGTTCTCGGGTTTTATTCCCGGTAGAATTTGAGAAATGAATTTTGTTAAATTGGTACTCATCCGGGTGTTAGAGGCCAGGTGCCTCTGGTTATTATTAAGCCAAACTTTTTTGTCACCTAAGTGAAGAGAAATTTGATAACCTTTAGTGTCTCGTGACAGTTTTAAACTTGGTTAAACGCAAAGATAAACTGTCAATATCAGCAGGGATCTTAAAATTAGATGTGACAAAAATTTGTGCTTTCAATGATTTTACGACTTTATAGGCACGGAGACTACGATGACTAAAGAAATTAATTCTTACTCTAACGTTGTGGTACATTTATGAAAAATTTAATTTATGTACAAACATTGAGAAGAGTAGTATGTTTTCGTATGAAAAATAGTGATACAAATAACATAATTACGAGAAATAAAAATACGCTGCAATAAGATTCCGGTTGATATTCAAAGAAGGATGGCGAAAGCTGACCCAAAATCAACGATGACAACGATTTTGATGACTAAAAATCGCTGAAGGCTATTTTCTCAGTTTTCAGTGGATCCGGTAGTAGCATCCGGTAACGCATGGCAAGGAACATAGCAGATGTAGAACTAAATTAAGTTGTCATAACCACTATTTCAACAGAATTCTAAATTATTTTGAAAATATGTAAACATACCTTATTTAATTTTTTTAAATGTAATTAAGCTAATAAATCTCATTTAAATATTCAAAGTCATTTCTCGGATTCGGAATTGATACGGATCGGACGAAGGACGCAAACGCTATTTAGAGTTTCTTTCCGAATTTCTCATTCTTCTCAGGTGAGTCTGCCTTACTAATGAGAAGTAGAGTTACATCAATGTGGCGATGTGATTATTTGATTAACTTCGAAACTATTTGAGATTGGAGATCAATACCATGCACGGCATTCTATTGGGATCGTCAACCGGTTCAAAAGGACTTGCAATGCATCGATTTTGGGTTGTGTTTTATTTGATTGAAGTCTGGTGGTCTCGTAAATGCTATGATATTTCTACTTTGGGTGACGAAAGTAACTAGATTAATCAAGGTAAACAGATAGGAATTGTGTTACGTATCTTACTTAGAAAGCCTTCTGTACTTGTTACTTATTTTCTATTAAAAGATTCCTTCCATTTTCCGCCTCAAATTGCCTTCGTCTATTGTGATCCTTCTCAACAATGTTATCGATATTTCCCTTACAATTTCCCATGAGCCATTGAGCCGTGATCTCTGAACGCCTAATGTGCCGTATCACGATAAGGAGGAGCGGGCGATTTTTCGTCGAGACAACTCTTAATTAATTAGACATTTGTTTCTTATTATCAAATGCTTGCATAGTTGGGATAACGACCCGCATTTGGCCAGCGTGGACACACCTAAGTTTAGTGGTTTTAGTAGCAGCAGAGCTGCTTGTGAAAGAGTGCATCCAGGGAGGTGCTGCCGCTTTAGCTATTTCTGCCGCAAAGCATTAACGTGACCATTAACTGTGTTCCAGTTTTCAAGGGCGCTGGTGAAACTATAGGAACACGAGACTCGTTAAGTTTATGTCTCCGCGTTATGGCTGCAGCAATAGCCTTCAGATATTTCCGATTTAAAGCACTGAGTGGTACTGCAATTGTTATGGGTAGGCGTGTCACTTTCCACCTGACAGTAGGAGATGAAACTTCAAGAACTTATGTTTGGTCACAACAACTCACGAAAGTCGCAATACGAAGTGACTCGATGAACAAGTCATGTGCATGTTGGTAAGTGATATGCCTGGACTGGAGTAGTTGCAGTGTCATTTGAAGCTTTTAAATCGCAAAGATCTTACGGCACTGCCACAGCGCCCGTCACCTTCAGACGTAAATTGACAAGTCTCATGGTGCCTGTAATTTCACCAGGGTGGTCACATTTATTCGACATGAAATTTGCATCTAACTGTCATGGCAAAGCACGCTCACGCATTTGGTCTACGCGGTTATATTATTCAGAAGAATTTAAATGTTGTTGCCTAGTAAATAGAATTCAGATTCGCCGTTAATGTAAAGCGTGGTAACTGGGCGGCTGCCGCGCGAAAACTTTCGCATCGTGTAAACTGGGCGCTTATCCTTCAAAACCGCATATGTTAATGTAAGTAATGCTAGCATTATTGCTTGGCAACAGTAATAGGTAAGGTGGCAGTACTTCCTTGGATGAACTTTCTTGGAAGGAGTTCTACTGCTACTTATACAGGACAGACATAAATTTGTTCTTTATATATCTGGTCCGTCCCAAAAGTATCGAACATTTTTCAGGAAAAATACTTTTATTGAACTTATCGGTACCATACATTAGTACTCTTCAAAATAACACCCTTCAGCATCGATGCACTTTTGTAGGCGAGTTTTCCATGCCCGGAAGGCCCCCTGGAAGACGTCAACGGGTAGGTCCTTCAGCGCCCTCGTCGTAGCTTCTTGGATGTCCTTAATTGTGCCCCAATGCTTGCCTTTGAGCTTCGACTTGATGCTGGGAAACAAGAAGAAGTCTGCCGGGGCGACGTCAGGACTGTAGGGAGGCTGCGGGACCAGCGGGCTTCGTCGGTCACCTCTTCCCTTCCGTCACGGAACATCTTGTGCCACTTCCTGACCGAGGATTCGGACAAGGCTTTGTCCTTGAAGGCCTGTTTAATCATCTCGTTGGTTTCCACAGTATTTTTGCCGAGTAGAACACAAAATTTCACTGCGTACCTCTGTTCTAACGGATCCGTCATCGCGCTACTTTTAAAAACTTCGACGAGGTGTCGTTTAGAGCTCTACGCGAACGCACGTCCTGCCGCTCCAGGTGCTCGGAGCCAACTGGGACCGGTCGCGCTGTATCGGCTAGATCCCCCCACCACTTTCTGTTGCCAAGCGGAGCGCTTCCCGCCGTTCGGCAACACTCCCAAAAAAAATGTTCGATACTTTTGGGACGGACCAGTTTATTGATATTAAATAGCTTATTTTAAGAATCAAAATTCCTGGTTCTTAAAATAAAAATAAATAAGTAAAATAGTAATTAGCAAGGTTTAATTAAAGTTCATCTTTACGACGATCAAGAAAGATTTTTTCATTCCGATTTGATGATATTTTGTTTGCACGATTCAAAAATCCAATTTGAATTCGCCGTCCATCAGTGTTATTACTAGGATGATTCAAATGTTTATTTAACAAAACGAGTTAGTAATAATTACTTAATTGTGTCTGACGCAGCGATCTATTCTTCTTTTGAAGCTTTACATTTCGAAGCGGTGCTAGAAGGCCTGAGTATCAAAATTCATTATTGAAAATGTTACCTTACGCTTTTTACGCCGTGTTCTAATTTCCAATTGAAAAATTACTGTTTACTCTGAACTGAGTATACATCCAAATTCATCAATTATGTATCCAACTTCAGTTTCAGAATGGAACGGTACGTCAGGGAATTTTTAGGTGGCGTATAGTAATATACCTTAATGTTATGATATTATAGTTGAAAAATCGATTATAATGGTCGTAGCTACAAAAGCCTCCGGAATGCCTTGGCAGATTTCGGGATGCTTCGGCAAGCTTCCGAAGGTTCACGCACAATCTTTCCCTTTTTGGTTATGAGTTTCTTCTTCAGCAAGACTAACATTTTTACCATTTGTATGGGCAATGCGTATTTAGTAGCAGTAGATCTCCTACTGAAAGAGTTCGTCTATGGAAGTTCGTCACCTTACCTGTCTCTGTCAAGCAGTAATTTAAGAACATTACTACGTTCCGGTTTTGAACTGTAAGGGTGTTTATGAAATTTCAGGCACATGGGATTTGTCAACTTCTGACTCGGGGTGTCGGGCGCAGTGGCAGTGCCCCTCAGATTTATGCGATTAAAAACTCTGAGTGCCACTGCAACTGTCATGGATGGGTATGTCGCTTACTGCCAGGCGCACGACTTGTTCGTCCCATCGCCTGATAATATAAAAAAACTTTACTTCCGAATAACAGAATAGTATATAAATTGTTTATTTCAGGTAAAGAGCCATATAAATTGTTAATAACATTTTGTCTTAAAGTAGGTTAGTATTTGTACATCAACAGCGTGAAAACCATTTTTTTAATATTTATTTAATATACATAAAAACAGTTTTCATGCTAAACGTCTAGGAGTGACTTAAGCCCAACCATTTTATACTCGGCATCTCTTCCATCTTACCAATTTTGAGGGCCTTTGATAATCCAGATCTGTACCTGCAAAAACAGTGGCAAATCTCCCAGAGGCTGACCTTTATTGGAAGAGATGGGTAAAGAAAGTTCTACCAGAGATGTTCCATAAAAAGTAAATACAAGTGGAAGATCTCGTATTGATTGTGGACCCAGACCAGATTGAAAAATTCGGACCTTGACGCGATATTCAGAAATTTGTATAAATTGGTTTTTATTGTTGTAGCAATAGTGTCACAATTTCAGGGTCAAATTGTAATTTTTTGTTGGCCCTTGCGTCATTTTATACTAGAATAGGGCAATGTTTATACCCGTTTGTTGCTTAGTCGGCAGCCTCGTGCCACGCGCCCGGTCAGCCGTGTCCGGTGACTCTTCATAGACAAAGAGATATTGGTGTTTCTCGAATTGACCAATTTTCCTGTTATTCCATTGTTATTTTTATTCGGTTTGTAATTGTTTCACTCACCCGCTTTATATAGGATATATTTCGGAGAGTGTGCACAGGAACTTTATTATATAGTTCCACCCTTAATCTTTCTTCTTTTGGCTAGTAGATTGTCAGGAACATACCATTGCTTCCATGATTGACTTAGCAATAGCATCCATTCGCAACCATTTTGCTTCAATCTTCCTGATACGTACGGCAATGGAATAAAATAATAATAACAATAAAATATGTGCCAGACAACCGCACCAGTGGCTTGGTTTGTTGCCACGTTGAGACGACAGACGTTGGTTCAGTCGGACCGAAGGAATTTTTCTTTGTGTTTGTAATTTCATAATAGAAAAATAAACTTGGAAAAAGAGAGAAATATTAAAAATGGTACAAGAAAAATAAGTGTTTTATTGTCATATAGGAATAACACAGTTCTTTTTCTTGTACCATTTTTAATCCACACCTATTTCTGCCGCCAAGCAGTAATGTGAGCATTACTGCTTTCCGGTTTGGAAGGGTAAGGGTGCTGGTGAAATTGCAGGCCCATGGGACTTGTCAACTTTATGTTTTAAGGTGTCGGACACAGTGGCAGTGTTCCTAAGATCTTTGCGATCTAAAGCTCTGGGTGGCATTACAACTAAAATACGTAACGTATCGAATGTAGTGCGTATACGCGCTGGCTCTTTTTTGTCACAAAAACAAATCTTAAAGGGGTTGAAATAGGGGCTAAAAGTTTGTAAGGAGAATCAATTATTTCTCAAGTAAGTGGTACAGTGGGCTATTTACTCTACACAAGCGAAAAATAAACCGTTATTCTACTAAGCTACCAATGCTGATTGTACGAATATTGCATTTATTTAAATTAAGTCGTTTCCAAGTAAATTAAATGACTGCGTACAATAAGTGACGTAATTTGTTTCTATAGTCAGTGCCTCTACCACGAAGTTTACAATGACGGTTGTCGTTAACGTCCGAATGGAATACTTCACAATTTATTACGGCAAATTGTGTATTGCAGTCGCAAGAAGGAACAATGATAACTGTCACTATAAAACGTGGAAGAAGTTGTGGTATAGTGATGACAAGTAGGAATGTTTTTTCTTCTTATATAGGGCTACCATTTTGAAATTTGAATAGTCCGGACAAATCGTTTGTAATTTGCAAGATAATCAGAACTTTTTTAGAAAGAAAATAAAATTGAAAATGTCTCTCACACGGCGGCAGAGAAGGACAAGCGCTCGGGCAACAAAAACTTTTGTCGTAAATGGAATTTTATTCAAATTTATTGATATGCCTATTTCTATTCCTTATTCCAACCCGTCTAAAAAAGACCACCAAACCGTTGTGTCGACGCGGTACACGTGCAGATAAGAAAGCGAGTAACGGGTGGAGCCGCTCGGCGGGACAAGAACCTTGTTTTTTTGTTTTGGTTACTTGCTACTGATAATTCTGTTATTATATAACGCAGTTAGTGAGACTCTGCAGAAGTGCGAGATGGATATTTTACTGTTTATTCGGAAAATTGCCGAAAAATCCGGATTACACTTCAAACGGTCGGACATATCTGGACAAATCCAGACGGATGGTAACCCTGCTCTTGTGGCAACTTTATTTACCCCACATCAGGGGACAATTTTGGCAGTACCGAGTTTAATGACCTGGACGATATTTTGAGAGTATGCTGATGGCATCTCCGCGACGAACGACGTGATGTCATCGTGGCTTCCACATTTTTTTCACAATACTGTCAATTGCAAGTAGGAACAACAAATTAAAGAAATAGAAAATGATACGAACTATATGAAACAAAATAAACATAGCTATTACAATAGTGTTGTAACTGAAAATATGTGAAATCCGATATTATCCTATTGTTGAATATAAAATTTTATTCTCTACACCACAATAAAACCATTTTTAGAAAATTGTAAGAAACAATATAGTTCAGAAACGAAACAAACAAAACAGTTCTCACTCAAAAATATGAAATAATTTTTTCCTTATTAATATAAAGGTTATAGGCCGGATACGAATCGACATCTCCAAGTAAACCGTGTCATAGATTTCTCATACATGGCGTTACGGCTAAAAAGTCGTTGAAAAACCAAATAAAAAGATCCGACAACAAGCACATAGAAAAATTCGTGAAATTCGTGAAATCCGCTGGTTCGTTCCGTGTAGTGTTGTTAAAAAACAATGAAAAAAAACATGAAAAGAATCCGTTTTTTTTTCTGGAATACGTTTTTTTTCTAAAAGAATGAAAATAAAAATATATGACTACATGACAATTGTATTTTCTTTTTTATTACATTTAATCTTTTGTTATTATTATTATTCTTCATAGATAAATTGCTCAAAATTCCCCAAATTGCGGCGAATTTCAACTCGATTGGGTATTTTGTTATTGTAACATTTTACCTTTTTTTTTAAATGTACCGATTGCTGTTGCATCGCTACTTTATTTATCTAAGGGCAATATCAATTATTTTTTCCACATCGCAAATATCCCTTATATAGCAACATTTACATAGAATTATTAGCAAGCCGCTTGCATAAAATTATTCGGTGGGATTTGAATGAAGGAAACGGAGACACAGAAAATGTTGATGACATTACAAGTGTGGGTAACACCTGTAACAGTAGTAACACTAGTAACACCACAAATGAAAATTAAATTTTTGTTATAATTATCATGGTAATAATTATAATTATATAATAATAATTATCATATTCACATATATATATTCTTAAAACAAGTTAGTGTCTTATTTTATTTCAGTTATTCCATTTTACTTTTTCTGAAAAAAAAAAAAACCAAATTTAGAAAAAAGACCAGGGCGCTGTATATTTTTTCATGTTTTTTTCCAAAAATGTGAAAAAAGAAGATTTGGTTTTTTTTAAGTTACAACACTAGTTCCGTGGC